TACATTTTATAAAACACAGTTTCAATAATTCAAATTTATTTATTCTCTACTTATGATATGCACGAAGAGAATGTGCGCTTGCTCTGCCATAATAAAGCTTTTACATTCTTATTCTTTTGTCATTATAATTTTTATTTAACTCGCTAAACGTACCGATTCTCAAATCTATAATTTAAAACATTTTACATATTAATAATTGTATACTAATATACAATCATATTTATTAATTATTAAAATCTGTCATATTTAAAATTGCCATAATTTTTATAATTCTTTTATAATTTTACACTTCATGCTTCATGAAACACGCTTTATAATTATATTAGATGTATAAGAGAGAAAAGGCATTGAGTATTTTCTTGTATTCAGTTTCCTCTCATTTGAACACATAAAAATAAATAAAGGAAAATAATATATACAAACAGTTTTTATTTTCATCGAAGTTATTTGCCAAAATCAATCAACAAATATTTAAACTTGTTATCCAGAGATATCATAGTGTCTCAGCGCTAAGAAATTAAGTTTACTTATATATATATAACTGTGAAAATTATAATAATATAATATTCAAAGAGAGAATTACGAATGGTATTCGAATATACAACTTCGAGAATTAGCATGTTCCACGATAATTCTTCGCAGCCTTTTCGCATGCGTCGGTTACCGGTGATATATCGAAATTTGCCCATACAATATACTAATATAGTATTATAAAAATTAATTTAAACAAAACACAATACATGAAAATTTATATATTCATTATTTATAATTGTACATATACAAAAGGACTGTTCGTTGAAAAATGATGAAAAGCGATCAACATCTTTAAATATTAAAAAAAGAAGAATGACATCGCATTTACAGAAAATATTTCTAGCGATAGTATTCAACAAAATTTGACTCGTTGTCATATATCGCACAAAGGTATTAAGTACAATCAAATAATCGCGTTATCAGAGCTGAGAATTTTTCTAGATTTAGATTCAATATAATGCTTATGAGCAATTTGTAAAAGAAGATTATTATAATTGGATTATTTGTTATTCGTATTAGAATAACAAATTTACGTTGAGGATAAAAAAACGGCTCCGATGAAAAAAATATTTTAAAAATGTATCAAAAACTTGTAAAATCGTGTAAATAAATCAAATTAATAATTCTCCGAAAATGATATTCTCGGAAAATTATGAAAAAGTAAAAATCGTAAATTCTTGAGCCATGAGTTCCCATCCAACCATGTTCATATTCATGAATCATGTGAACAAATATTATTGTTAGCAAAGAAAAGAATAGAAAAGAGAATTTTTTTGTTCGAAGGTCTATGGTGCCTCAACACGAAGGTCTGTTTTGAAGAACAAAGAAAAAGGTTCTTTTACGGACGGTGAGTGACCATTGTAGATTTTGAAAATGGAAGGAAATGGTACCAGAATAGACTATGAGGATATGTTTAGAGAAATTACAAAGAAACTGTATGGCGACGATCCTGATCATAGAAGTAAGTTTTTATGTTGAATTTTCTAGAATAAGTTAAAAATAATATCGTTTACTGATTGTCGATATATTATCAATTATTGATTGTATTTGTTAAGGCAAAATAATATCGGAAAATCTGCAGTAGAAATAATTAAAAAATTTATTTATCTATAATATATTCAGTAAGTTTTCAATAAACTTTTTTTTTACGCAACATGTATGCATCATATGAATGTAACTGAAATTGTGTGCATACTTTCTATTGATCATTCACAATTGGATTAACTCATTATCTAATTATTTAATTGTTTAACGTTAACTGTGTTCAGCAATAAAAAAATTTTATTTATAATTGGCCATTTAATTAAATGTTTACGAAATTATATTTTTTTTCACTAGTTATTTTCGCATGATAATTAATTACTGACTATAACGAGTCTGAAAAAGTAGTCAAAATTCGATTTCGGAAAATAGTATGAAAAAGTATTCTATAATAAAATGTAGCTCTTCTTACAACTTTTTCCAAATAATAATTAAATAATTACCGTCCATATAACAATTATATGAATTTTTTAAAAGTGATTTTTATATTTATTATTAATTTTCTTTGCAAAGAAAATCATTAAGTTTATTATATATATTCAAGAATAAAATGCTGTTAATTACTTTTAATTTATTTTTATTTTTTTTTTATTTTAAGATATAAATTACTTTAAAATCACGTTAGAACTTTTACAATCGATAGTCAAATAGTACTTCATTATTTTCGAATATGCTGTAGTTTTACAATTATGAAAGTTCTTTCGAAACTTGATAATAAGCGATTGAACATTTTGATGAATATTTTTGAAAATTAGAAGGAATCGTCAGAAAACCAAATATTTTTTTCAAAAATAACAAAGTTATTGAGTTTTAAAGTTTTTAATAGAAATTTTTTTTCTTAGTATATTTTAATTGTTCGTAACCCTAAAGAGTGTTTAAAGTTAAACCATTCTCTCACTCCAATTTCTATTTTAATTTGTCTAAATTTCTTTTTCTGAAAATTCATTTTTTCTTACTTTTTCTCAATAAATTATGTAAATATTTTCTTTAGCGTTATTAATTGTTTATTTTTTAAATATTGTTATAAAATTGCGAAAATATAGTATTGAAAATATTTTTTTAGTAAAGATGATGCACGAAACAGATATGTCCGTACAATAGCATATCGTTATGTTTCTTTAGGAGTGCATTTCATTCACTCATAACGATTACAAGCATCATTTGATAAATTTTAGATGTGTTATATTGCTATAGTTTTTGACATTTTCTTAAGTTTATGAGTAATAAGTAATCTTGACAGAAACAAATATAAAGCAATATTAAAATAAAACTATTTTCTATACCTTCGGCAATATTAGATACTCCATTCTTATTTAATTTGATAATTTTGACATTGGATTTGTGTTCAGCAATCTCAAAAATCTATAAAAACAAATTAATATTAAAGTAAGATTATTTTTTGTATTTCAGTCGCGATTTGTGAGTCACAAACGATTACTAAATTGTCTTTTGATAACAATTTAATTAATTTTCGAATTATGACTACTTTTTCCGACATCTTAGCTAACTGTGGAATGTTTTGTTTTATACAAGACTCATGAGTTTCTTTCATTAAAGAGATTCTAAAGTCTCGTTTTACCGATGAAATATAATAATTTTCATACAATGATATCGCAATCCATTAGTGGATTACGACCCGGCGGTAACCCTTTGATACCTTTGATGATATCGCATATATTACTTTCACAAATTTGAAAATTTTTTCCGAAATTGTATTATTCTAGTTTGTAGCGCGGAATTTATGTTGGAGCAACAAAAATGTTTGAAACTGGTCTTTACTATTTTTTAATCTAATATGATGTTAGAGTAGCTATGCCAAAATTTGCCTGATATAAAATCTCTGGAATTTGTATTTACAAAATATAAGCATCTAATTTTATACGATATTATTCTACGAAAATTTATATATGTGTGAAATATTGTAGTAGCAAGTAATGATGTGCCGATAACATATAAATCATAGATAAACTAGGGCATTATGGTTATACGGAAAAGATTTTTGCTCTAGGCTGTAATTTCTTCAATAATTGCTAAATAGAGCATTTTTTTAATCATTCTAAAAGCCTATGGCCATTTTCCCCGTATGGCTCTTATCCGAGTTTACCTTATGTGTGAAAGTTGTAAGTCCTATTGAATCGGTAAAATAGCGATTCCGTCGAGTTTACTTTAAGATCTCTTTAAATGTGAAGAGTTTAATATAATTTATCATAATTTCGTCGTTACAGCATCGAACGTGCAAAATGAGTTCGAAGCATCAGTTTCTTATAAAACCGAAGAAGATACAGGAAACGGTACCGACGGTAGTGATGATGGAAATTGGACATACGAGGACGAACCACTGAAAGGAACCGACGGAAGTCGAATTGCAGCTTACCATGCTGGAAAAGCCATGTGGCGATGTGACGAGTGTGGTAAGTACACATGATTTACATACATTGTTAAAAATGTTCTTACAATAATGTGCAGCGAATGAATTTAAAGACACGGATATATCTAATGAACGTTGCGTAAACTTACCTGAAAATTTTTTGCGAGGCTAACTTGTTTACAATCTCACGCTTAAAGGTCTAGATCGATAGAGTATACAGAGTATAGTTGAGTAATTTTCTATCCAATAGTGTAAAAAGTTTAGCTGATGCAAGATAAAAATAAGTTGATTAGCAAGGGTAGAGAAAGGTCCCCTTTCTAATTACTGATCGTACCGTTTTGAAGAAAGTACATTTTCCGCTTGCATTTCTTCAATTTATACTGTCAATTTATAGAAAAGATAGATCATTAATTTTTCTTGAATACTTATTATATATTTATTCTTAAAAAACGAAAAAAGGAGTGAACAATTTATGTTTATACGAATTAAATAAATAATACTGTCCGATACGATTTTTAAACCATGAACGGGACTAAATGATTCTTACAGATTTTTTTATTACTGAAAATGAATCTATAAATAAAATTGCTGTTTCACATCATGTTTTTGAGATTTATTTTAATTGAATTTAAAGATAGTGAAAATGGCATTTTTGAGTACTTTTGAGGTAAAATATCTCAAAAACGTGACATAATAGAACAATTTCATTTATGGATAAATTTTCAATGACTGTTGAAAAAATCTGTAAGTATCACCTATTTTTATTGATTGCTTTATGAAATAAGTATTATTTACAGAGAAGAAGGAAACTTAAATTCGTATATAAATATAATTCTTTGAGGATCGGTTATACAATTTGAATCATTTGCATGTAATGGTTTGTGAAATCGCTGATTATGAATCTGAAATTGTTTAAACAAATTATTACATAATTTATTTAAGCATCCCGATTCCGATAACTCTTAACGACACTGGTACTGTTCGTTGTCATTATATACAGTAGATATTAGGTCAAAAAATCTATTAACGACAATATAATAATACTGTATGTTCTTTTCTTTCCTATTATATTTTTTTCTTCTTTATAGATAAATATTTTATTTTATTTCTTAGATCTACGTGTATAAATATTATAAATTATAGGTATTATCCTCTTTGCACATTAGTTAAAAATTTGTTTATTTTTTTATTTTTTATATTGATTATTCGAACATCTTTTATGAAAATCTTTTATGAAATAACGCTATAGTTCAATGATATATATTTAACAATTAATAAAATCACACTATTAATTATATATAATTAACCTTTAATACACACAATGGGTCATTCGTGACCCATAGCATTTCTTTTCCTTGAAATATTACAAACATCTGGCTAAATAATGATCTATATTCTTTTCCTGAAAAACTTAAGCATATAGAGATGTGGATTGCCGACTCCTGTTTTTATGAATCCTTTTGATCAGGCTAATTCAGAAGATAGAGTGTGTACTTTTTTTATAATAAAAAATTTTTATTTTTTTTTATCTTTAATTAATTCTCGTTTCGATTAAAATATTTTGCGAATTATAAAAAATTTAACCACATGGGTCTGTTCGTGTTGATCAAATCCCCCAAAATTTTTGCATTTAAAACGAGATAAATATATATTCGACATGAAGAAAAAAATGTCAGTAATATATACGTATATTATAGAAAGATATAATAAATATTTTTCTAATAAATTATAAGTTTTTGTAACATAATAGCAATAATAAAATTACATTGTTTAAATGTAATATAGCTTCAATTTATATCTACTCATGTATATTAAAAAAATGTGTTTACTAAATAATTGAACGTTTCAAACAGCCGTCACACTTGAATTATTTTTTTTTAGGCATTTATTTTCTATTGATTGTATTCTCACATGTACGGTCCTATAGATTTAATATAACTTTTTTTAGTTTGGAAATGTCAATTTTAAGATATTGAAACATATTTTTTTTCTTTACACATTTTTGTTTCAGAGTTTTACATTTTTATACGGATATTTTTAAATATACAACTTTACAAATACTTTCTAAAGATATTAAAATACATGTAAGAATCACTTAACGATTTTCATATACTTGTAAAAATGATAGAATTAATTCAGACAGATAGAGAATTAATGCGAGAGACCCATCGTGTGTAGTAAAAGTGCCAAAAATTATCGTGTGTATTAAGGGTTAATTGTAATTAATTTAATTATTTTATTTCTATATATATTATTTTATATATTAATTTGATTTGTAATATACGGATAGTCTTATAAAAACTGAATTGACTGAATCTTTATTCGCATGAATAAAGATTATCTAATTTTCACAGGAGACATCCTAACGAGTGGTCCACGAGAAATTGCCGAACACTTCATGGAGCATCATGCGTCGAGAATCCTAGCTGATAGCAGAAATAGGCATCACTCACCACGCAAAGATTATTTGCAAACGGATTTTAAAATCGAAGATGTAGTCATGTATTTAGAAAGACTTCGTGAACGCGCTGAACGAGCGGCTCCTCCTACCCGAAGAACCCAAGAAACGCAAACTGTACCTGCGACTTTATTGACAACTACATCGAGCTTTCATTTGCAAGAACTGCCATCTGCCCCTGCGCTACAACATTTGCAACAGGTATTATATATGCACACATTACGTAATAAAAAATATTATGTAATAATATACATATATATGCTAACGTTTCGTGAACCTTGCCGTTCATTTCATCAGGGCGAAGAGCGCATTGATACAGTATCGCACTGATACAGTGCGCTCCTCGCCCCTAATGAAGTGAACGGTGAGGTTCACGAAACATCGGCATTAGCAATGGATCACGACACGGTGACAACCCGTAAACTCTTTGGCACCTCTGAAGAAACATACCCGTGAAAGCCTCAAAAGTAATATACATATGTGGTATCATATACAAGGTGTTACGAAAACCATTTAGTATTTATATGATAGATAATACACACTATGAGTAAAAAAGTCTTAGTAAACATAGGTCGAAAGCTCAACCGTTTCAAAAGAGATCAACAATTTTGTATATTAGTATCATATTTTAGTATGTTAGTAACTGATTTATTGGCTTCTATTGGTATCGCATGCAACATGAAGATTTATCTCAGTGTTTACAAGTCGCATTTTGAGAATGTTCCTATTCAATTTCCACACGCTCTTTATAATGAAAAATTTCACCGAAAATCAGTAAGGTGATATCACCCGGCTATTACGATTGGATAAGCATTATGAGAGATTATCTCATTGGAGCTGTAATTTCTGCAAATAGGCTATTAGTGATTATCTCAATTTCTCTCTTTTCATATCGTATGCGATACTAGTGAAGAAGACAGTAAAGTTAGTTATGATACTAATATACAAAATTATTAGATAGATAGAGATACGTATAGGTATCTTAAAAATTTCGATTGAAATTTCGATCTATATTTACTAAAATTAAATTAAATTAAACAAGAACAAAGGACTTTTAATATACAAAAACAATCGAAATTAGAAAGGGCATAAGAGTCAAATATAAAATTCAATATAATGATCTAAGATATAAAATGTATTATGCTCTGTAAATTGTACTTATACAAGTATAAAGTTCATCAGGTCTCATCTTTATATACTTGTATATTTTTACATTATTATCTTCATCATTTTACCAATATTACTAAGTGAATTTTTTTTATCTGAAGATGGTTCAATCTACACCGAAACATGTAATATAAGTACAATTTACAGAGCATATATATATATATATATGTGTATAATACATTTTATATATTAAACTATTATATTGAATTTAATTTGACTCTTATATGTCCTTTCTAATTTCGATTGTTTTTACTAAAATTCTTTTATTTATTATGGTATGTACCATCTATCACATAAATGTGGAATTATTTTTAGGTCCTGTATATGTATATAATATTATATAATATAGCATCTTGGAATTATATTCCAATATAAAATTATTGCGGCAAATATTTCTACTACTTCCTATTTTATCTACTCTCTTATAATATTACTGATAATGCAAAAAAAATAATTTTATTTAATTCTGTTTTAAAGCCTAGTTTAAAAAGGCGTAAACTTTCACAGAATACGACCACGATGTCTACTACTGTTGCGGCCTCCACGAGTAATAAACGTTATAACTGTCCATGCTGTCCTTATGGCACGGACAGACGAGATCTTTACACACGACATGAGAATATCCATCGCGAACAAAAACCATTTCATTGCTACATATGCTACAAACCATTTAATCGTGCGGATCACGTAAAGAAGCATTTCATGAGAATGCATCGCGATCACGTGTACGATGTATCGAAGATACGGAAACCAGTGGATACAAACGCTCCCAAGTCGTTACAACAGGATACGACGGCAACCGTCAACGTGAGCAGTCAGCAACAACCGCAACAGCAACATATGAGCAATCAGTTCGGTTTCGCTAGCAATAAGGGCTATCAACTACAGCCGAACGCTGTCGCATCGAGCGCCAATGTAGGCACTACCGGTATCCATCAAGCGATAATCATGCCTTCTCCATCGGGTATTGTGCAATCTGATAATAATTGCAATACAGGAAGGCGAGTGCAAAACGGTGGGTGCAATAGTAAGAGTCATCTTAAAGGTGGCTCCAAAAACGCACAGGAAAAAAGGTACGTTTCTGAAAATTCTCAAGTTTCATCACGCTTTGACGATTATTTTTAATTTATATTATTTTTTTTAATATATATGTTTGAATATCAAAATTGTGCGATTTAAAATTCTCGTATTTGTATGCAAATAAACGAAAAATGACGATTTTTTGATAAGAAATTCTTTATATACTCATAGTATTGTAAGTTGAATTTAGTGAAATTATTGTTGTCCGAAAAATTCATTTCAAATTTTGTTAGTCTAAAATTGTATGTACACAATATTTAAAAACAAACAAGAGTTTTATAAATTTAAAAAAGGGATTTTAAAGCTTGAAATCTCTACTTTTAAAAGCTTGCTAAATTTTTTGAGTTTATGTGAATTTTATAATTTTTACATGTAGAAAACTACGAGTTGACAAAAATGAAAAAAAATTTTTCTCTTTGTAGGTCTGTCACATGCCTAAAAGACTTTGCGGAAATTTTCGATCGAAATTATCTATCGTGAAAATTTGAAGTTTTCCCTACAAAATCGTTTTTTGAAAATGTTCCTACGATTTTCTGTTCTTTAGTTAAGTAAAAAAGAGCATTTGACTTTAATTGCTCATAACTTCGTTAAAAATTATCATGTGTGTTACAATCAAAAAACCAGATTCCTAAAATTGAAACGTTGCTTTATCGAGTGATATAAATTAAAAAAAAAATAGAATATATATGTATATGCATTTGAACTAAAAATATGATATTATTTTCCTTCTAACCATTACGCAATGATTACAAGGAAAGTAATGGCATATTTTTAGCTTAAATTTATATATATTCTATTTTTTGAATAAAATTGATAATTATACCATTCGATAGAGCAAAATTTAAATTTAATTTTAAAAATCTGTATCTTTAATTGCGGTACGATGGTTTTTAACCGAACAATAAAAGTTGGAATGTTCCTTTTTACTTAATTCGTGAATAATTTAGTAAAAAATCGAAGGAACATTTTTTAAAAACGAATTTTTAGAGAAAACTTTAGACTTTCACGTCAGATGGATTGGAAATTTCGCAATGAATATATTCTGTATATAATTTTGAGCTAACAAAATTTGAATTTTCCGAACAATCTATGTATTGAAGCATTTCTGTCAAGATACAGCTGCATATACTGTCCATGGACCGGAGTTGATAACTGGTGTCTAAAACGACATATGAATACCCATACGAAACCCTTTGCTTGTACCCTGTGCGAGTACAAAGCGGCGCGCGCCGAGCGACTTGCAACACACGTTCTAAAGGTCCACAATAGGAGACAATGTTCGAGGTGCCCGTTTCTTGCCGAAGATGCTAATCAATTGCAAATGCATCAGGTTCATGTTCATCGTGCGAGTGTGCCGTCGACATCGACTACTCAGAACGCAGCACCGCCAAATAATCGACATCAGCAACCCCTACAGTAAGTTTTACATTTGATGTATGATTTAGTAAAAGAAACTTGCACAAATCGAATTGGTTAAAATTTTATTATAATGTAGATCAGGTCCTGATCAAAAGTCTTCATGAGCATGAGGTCCAAAAATGAACAGTTTCCGAGATATTGGAGGTCAAATGCTGAAATTTATTCCCCTGTCATACTAAATCGTTTATTATTGTTTATAATAAACGATTGCTGCCTAAAAGATACTAAAAGATGCTACATAATAGTTATTACCGAGAGGTCAAAGAAACTGCATTTAAAATAAGATTGCCAGAATTTTGGACACTGTCATTAATTGGGTCTTTCATATTTTTTTAGAAATATATTGCCACAGTACAATAATAAAATAGGCAGTATTGAGATAAAAGATCTAATTACTGACAGTGTCCAAAATACTGGCAATCTTATTTTAAATGCTTTTTTAAATATGAATTATATGATAAATAATTGTATTATAATTTTATTTAAATTTTGAAAATGTCTACTTATTGTATTATTATAGCATTTTAAACTTGAAATTTTAACCTTCTAATTAAAAATAAAGAAGTCTAAACTCTGAAAATCTCATTTTCGTCAAGTTTATTCTTACTAAGAAATAAGAGGTAGTTATGGGAATGAGTAATTTTAAATTAAATTATAACCAAATAGTGCCAATGAAATTTTCGGCACGCAGTTCAAATGACTACAAATATATATATATATACACACACAAGCGCGCGCGCGCGTGTGTGTGTGTGTATAATTCACATTGAATTATTGAAACATCAAACATCCAGCTTCGATCGTTATGGGCGTTCCTATTTCT